ATTTTGAAGCAAGTTTCTCTGATAAAGTCCTCACCTCTCAAACACATATAGAGAAATGAGTCAAATTTACGGTCATTCCCCAATTGATAAAACATGAATAGTCAGTTTTCAGATGAAGTTACCAAAGCTATCTAGAACCATATGAGAAAATGCTCTAAATCACTATTGATGGGAGAAATGCAAGTTAAAACAATCTAAGGTACTTTCTCATACCTATAGATTGGCTAATAGGATGGAAAAGGAAAATGACAAATATTAGATGGGATAGGGGAAAACTAAGATATCAATACATGAGTGGTAGAATTGTAAACTGATTCAACCATTATGTAGAACAACTGGGAACTACGCCCAAAGGCCTATAAAATTTGCTTTGACCTGGCAATACCTCTGCTAGGTCAGTATCTCAAAAGAGATAAAAAAAACAAAAAGGAAAAGGACCTATTCATACAAAAATATTTATAGCAGCTCTTTTCTGGTGACAAAGAATTGAAAATTGAGGGGATGCCCATCCATTGGGAAATGGCTGAACAAGTTGTGGTATATGATTGTGATGGGATACTGTTGTGCTGTAAGAAGAGAGGAGCTAGATGCTCTCAGAAAAACCTATAAAGACTTAACATGAACTGACGCAGAGTGAAATAAATGGGTAGAACCAGAAGAGCATTGTACACATTAACAGTAATATTTTATTCAACTATGAATGACTTAGCTGTTCTCAGCAACACAATGATCCAAGACAACAATGAAGGACTTATGAAAAATGCTATCCATCTCCAGAGAAGAACTGAAGGTTTTTTAAATTGTGGTCTATGTTTTCTTTTGTGACATGACTAATGGAAATATGTTTTGCATGACTACACATGTATAACCTATATCAAACTGCCTGCCTTCTCAATGAGGGAGGTGGAAGAAAGAGAGAGAATTTGGAACTCAATTTTAAAAATGAATGTTGAAAATTGTTTTTACATGTAATTGGGGAAAATAAAATATTAAATTTAAAAAATAAATAAATATAAAGACTCTGATAATTTATTCCTCTAGATTACCTCCGGAAAGTCAATTTGTGCTATTCCTTCCTTCTACTTTCAAAGAGCACCAAAAAATATTTTTAGCAAAACCATTGCAATAAGCCAAGGAATCATCACCAAGTCATTTTGAATGGATCAATAGCCTCTATTTCTACAAGATTACTTCACAAATTTAGTAGTAAAACTTAAGGGGGAAGAAAAAACTTAGACCCTTCTGCTAGCCAAAAGATTTACATGTAAGTAACACTACATGAGAGCACAAGTAATAAGTAACTCTAATTTGAATATTCTCTCCTTAAGAAATATGAGAGATGGTTTATGCCAGCAACTGCCTCTGCCACCTCCAATGAGGTTCTGTTCGAACAGACTAGAAAACATGGCACACAGCCATGACCAACTTGATGTACAACCTTGGGTAGGCCTTGGGTTGGGCAGATCATTTAAACAATCTGTAGGGGCAGCTAGGTGGTGCAGTGGATAGAGCACGGGCCCTGGATTCAGGAGGACCTGAGTTCAAATCTGGCCTCAGACACCTAACACTTACTAGCTGTGTGACCCTGGGCAAGTCACTTAAGCCCATTGCCTAACCAAAACAAAACAAAACAAAACAAAAACAATCTGTGCCTCAGTGTCTTCAACTGAAAAACAAAGATTTTGGCCTAAGTGACCCCTAAGGTCTCTAGGTAGCTCTTACAGTCTGAGCCTGTGATGCTTAGGTGGTAGACAAATTTAAATCTCAATAGCCTCCTCCTAAAATACTGAAACAAAGGCAGTATCGGTAGGCTCCATCGTACCTAAAATGTTCTTCTGAAGCACTAGCAATTCCATTCTGGAGAAAAGGTTGAGATTTTCAACATGCCCACTGCTGGTCTTTCAAAGGATTTTTATGTCTTACAAACTATAAAGCTGGCAAATCAAGCAAAAAGGGTCCCTGTCCAACTGGAGACATGTCATTCCCCTTCTCCATGGGCCTCTGTACCCATATCTATAAAAGGAGATTACAACAAGATGATCATGCTGTAAAGTCTCTTTCAGTTTTAAAGTTCTATGTTTCTATGGAAAACCATTTCTACTATTAAATGCAATTTGACTAACCCCCTTTAGTTAAAAGGTACCTTTACAAGTAACTCTGAAAATATATGTTCACTTTTATGAGTCAGATATCTTTTAATGTCAGCCCACATGACTATCTCATTTTAGCAACACCAAAGTGTTCTTCAAAACCTTGACATTTCTCTAGGATTATAAAATAAATCTCCAGAGGACCTATTCTCCATAACATTCAAGCTAAGATTTTATCCAAAATGTGTACAGTACTGCTGGACACAATCAAAGAGAAGCTCAAAGACACTATCCATTGTTAAAATGTCAGATAATGAGAAATAATTGACATTTCAGACCACAGATAGGCACAATTATTGACAACTGACTGTGTGTGCATGCGTGCGTGTGTGTGTGTGTGTGAGAGAGAGAGAGAGATTGAGAAAAGTTGAGAGAGAGAGAGAGACACAGAGAGAGACAGAGAGAGAGAGAGAGAGATTGAGAAAAGTTGAGAGAGAATGAGAGATTGAGAGAGCAGACAATACCAGCAGAGTTGTGAAAGTGCTAAGTCACTTGGATTTGCTCCACGGCAGCAGGTAAAGGACCTATTACCTGCTCTATCAATATACAAATATGAACAGGGATGCATTCTTCCCTCCTCCACTTTCATACAAAAATGAGAACTTTTTTCACCTAAGATGTGTGCATGCTCACCACCAAAGAATGAGTTTTCAAGACAAACTCTTTGAACAGGGAGGGGGTTTCAAGTAAACTACAATTCCCCAAAGTGGTGGCTCTTGGCCAAAGTCAGGCAAGCGTGGAGCAGATGGAGTCCTGGCAAGGTCTCTGCTGTCCCTGCATTAGCAGCATCTGCTCATTACTCAGAACCTTTGCCTGCTTTATCTAATGCTCCAGGAAAAGCATTTTGATTTGATTCATTTCAGTACGGTAACGTGCAACACAATTAGTGGTAAAATCAAACTGGAGAATGGCCAGTGCTGACAATCGGAAACAAGGCAGAAGAAAGATGAGGCCAGTGGGTTGGAATTCAAAAATCACAACTGTGGATCAACTTGCCAAATCTCAACGCCCCAGGTGTGTGTACAGTGTTCCTACTGGGCAATGAGAGTGGAAAGGAGTGGGGGTGACTTACTTTCTCCCCAGTACAATTTCCATCTCCCTTCCTCTTTTGAATCTGATTCCTCTGTGGTGAATGCATGTAGATATTCAACTGGGTCTCAATGATTGCAAGGCTCCCTTTGGCACAACCATCTAGCTGAGGTTCAATAGTCCATTTTATTATGATACTCTTCTTTCCTGTAGAGCACAGACACAAAATCTCAAGAGCAGCCCCTACGAGGTGATCTCCCTATCTGCCACATTTTACCTCTTTTATGAATTTTCTTTCAGCTATCTTAGACAAAGACAAGATAAAATATACATCTGATTTTAAGTGCTTACTTCAAATTGTCTTTGTCCAGGAGTAGCTATTCTGTTAATGCATTAATCATATTAACATCATATTAATTTGTTAATATGATCTGAGCTAGGTGACACCATGTGAGTACTGCGGAAGAGTATGGAGCAGCTGATGTTTAGCTCAGCAAACTTCTAAGTCTAGTTCAGAGGTGAAGAGCAAAGGCAGAGAGAGAGAGAAGAGAAAACCCAATAGCTTTTGAAAAAAAGAAATAAATCTGGAAAGTTTTTCAGAAGCTTTGGAAACATTTTCTTCATAATTTTGCAACGTATCCATGCGTTCAGTGGCAAGAGCAGTCAAACGCTGATGAAGCCAATTTCAACCACGGATATAAAATGAAGACTTCACTGACTTGTGCGTCCCCAAAAAGAAAAGTTTAAATAAATCAGTCATGTGTTATTAAGGGCACTGCTAGACACAACAGCCACCACAAACTGCTTTAGAACCACCGAAGTAAATTTTGAACACTGCAACATTTGCATAAAAAAATTATGTGGGAAAAAAAATCATTTGGAAAATAGCACATGAGCACAAGCTGCCACTGAAAGCTACAGCATCTATGCAGCATCTCAATAAGCATTTATGAAATATTAATAATAATGACAGCAGCAGAAGCAGTTTAGCTGGGCTACTTATATAAGACTTAAAAAAAAAAAAAGCCAGACCATCAATGGTTTATAGCAATATCAAACCACAAGAACAAAGTTCATGCTGATAAAAACTTGAGATGGAAATATTTTCATCATTTCAGCTATGGTTTTCATTTTTATTTTTATCTAACATGTGTGTCCAAGGCTCCCCATTAGTTGCCTGTCTTCAATTTTATCCCCTGAGCCAGCTAACGGTATCGTTCCCTGTACTGCCTGGAAATTAGAAGCGGAGTTCTGGCTTGAATACCAACACTGTGAAATATTCTATGGTCTCCTGTGAGGTGCAGAACCACTGAGCACAATGGAGATCAGAACCTGGAAAGGCTGAGAACAAGATTTTACATCATTGCAAGGGCTTAGCAGAGGAACGGACCCATTTGTAGTCTTTCGTGTCCATAATCTCAGAAAGTTTGGGTCTATCACCCAAACACCATTTCCTTTGGACCAATCGACTCCCTAGGGTAAAGTAGGCCAAAGCATATTTAATATTTTACAGCAAACAAGTTATCTGCTTAAGATGGATTGGCTAGACGTCTGTCTGGCACTCCAATTCAATGCAACAGTTCCAGTAGGAATTAAACACCAGTTTTAATGGGTGCTATATTCCAATGCCTGCTAATGCATTTAGGGTTATCGGCCAACTTTCCCACATAAAGGCAAATGTATGTGGATGTGTGTGAACATGTGTGTGTGCAAGTGTGTATATATAGAGGATTACGAGAAGGGGGGGAGTTAGCCACAGCTGCTTAATTTTTGTAAAGCTTTTTTTTTTTCTTAATAGGGAGGAGGGTTGTGGTTACTTACCATCCTCATAAGCTGCTACAGCCAGAGAGTTGTTTATCCTCACAAAGGAGACAAGTGGCTGAGATCCAGGCTCAGCAGCGCCATGCATTGGTTCCAGGATGGGGGCTGTGTAGTCCCAGGTGCGAGTGTCCCACAACCGCACATCCCCTGATGTATATCTGGAAGAGAAGGGCATTCTTTGTTCCAAAAATGTTTCAGAGGGCACCATTGCAGAGAAAATGGAAAGAGAAGCGCCTTCAAACAACAGGACGGGAATAAGACAGTCAAGGCAAATTCACCGTTTCCCCACAAATAAGATAATTCAATGAGTGATTCCCAAAGGACAAAATGTCAAATGAACCAACTAAGTCAATGATCCTACAGTAGAATAGGAACCATCTAGAAATAACAAGATTATCCAAAAGGGGGGGAGGCTCTTCTTTTAGAATGTTTGAAATAACCAAACTATATTTTACATATCCTCACAGTAAAGAGACACTAATGGAAATCTTCAGCAGCATCAGTATTCACACACACACACACACACACACACACACACACACACACACAGAGGTGCCACGTAGACACTAAGAACTCATGGTTTTGTAGGCACAAGCTTTCTAATACTTCATCCACGCATCAGATTTGACTGCTTGAAGTCCCTAAAGACTAATTGATCTGCTGACACAATTAAATCTTACCTTTAGGAGCCAGACAATGCTGCCGTCTCATGAAAAGCTCTCTTGCTGAAATGCATGACACTCCCCAGTTTTGTTCATTTGGTTTTTGTAGGAGAACTCTCTTACTCATGTTACTGCTGCTATTTCAACACACGGCTGTCTCAATCAAGTCAAATCTCAACAAAAGCACTTTTTGCACCTACTATGTGCTAGGAATTGTGTTAAATGCTGGCTAGGCCAGAACTTGGGTATAGACTCAGCACCATCATCGGCATCAATAATAATACTGATGATGATATAGTAGTAATAGCTAACATTTATATAGCGCTCACTATATGCCAGGCACTGTGCTAAGCACTTCAAATGATTATCTCATTTGGTCTTCACAACGATCATGGCAGATAGGTGCTACTATTACCCCCTTTTACAAAGGAGAAAACGGGAGCAAACAAAGCTTAAGTGACTTGCCCAGGGTCACACAGCTAGTAAGTGTCTAAGGCTGGATTTGAACTAAGGGTTTCTTTACTCCAGGCCTGATGCTCATATCCACTGTGCTACATGGTTGGATATAAATATGATCATTTATAGTCAAAAGCTTTTACGGTTCCTTTTATATGAATATTTATTACAAAACTGAGTTGAAAGTAGAGGTTCATTCAAAGGTTTAATAGCAAGTTAGTCTATAGAAAGTACAAATGATTCCTTTAAGTCTCCTACCCTGGAGAACATGACCCATTTTGGAGTTACAGCAGCTTTAGTGACACAAACCACAGTATTCCGTCCTCACCGCCATCACCATTCAGCTTTGCTGACTTCTCCTAAGACTCAGCTCTAATCCCACTCATCCCATGAGGTCTTTTCCACCGCTCCTCCCGCTCCAGCGGCCAACGACTTCTCTGATCAGACAGCCTTCCATCTATTTTCTATGTGCCGTGGATCCACTCAGTTTTTTTACACATTGTCTTTCCCATTAGAATGTAAATTCCTTGAGGACAAGAGCTATTTTTTGCCTATCTTTGCATCCCCAATCGTTAGCCTAGTGCTGGGTATATTAAGTGCCTAGTAAGTTGATTTGCTGACCCACCTTCCATATGGCTATGTTTGCTTCAAAGCTGGTTTTATTTCAACCCAACAGGTTCTTCTCCTTCGTGCCTGGTATGTGTCTAACCACACTGATGATGGAAGACAAACTAATTAAAGAATATGCTGTTTTGCTCACTGCCTGCTCTGAAGGTCAGGAGGTCTAGAATTTGCACACTTGAGAGATTCTCCTCCAAGCAGAAGTCGTATGACTTCTTGCTGAGGAAACAGCAGCAGAGTCCTGCATCAGGGATGAGTTGGACTAGATGACCGGCAAATTCTAGATCTGCCACTATGTGATCTTGGGCCTTTCTGGGACTCAGTTTACTCATCTGTAAAATAATGGGGTGGACCAGATGCTTTCCAACTCTAACCTATGAGCTTACAGAAAGTGAAAGAATTTTTTTTTAAATCAGAGAAGACAGAAATAATTTTCACAACTATGACTTGGGTAGTAAAAATGAACAAAGTGCAGGATAGAGGTGATCATAAAAGATAAATCAGCCAGTTTCAATCACCCCAAATGAATAAGCTTTTTTGTGAACAAATTCAATGAAGCCAGAATAAAGCAAAGCGTCCAGTGAGTAAAGAAAATTTCTATCAAATAACTGGTAAAAATCTGATATCCAAAATATATAGGGAACTGACCTAAATATATAAACAAGAGCCATTCTCCAACAGATAAGTATATGAGCAGTTTTCAAAAGAAGAAATACAAACTCTCAACCACCACATGAAAAATGACCTAAATCACTGATAAGAGAAATGCAAATTTAAAAAGATCTGCAAATTGACAAAGATGATAAGAGATAGAAATTGTCAAAGTTGGAGGAGCTGTGGGAAGACAGGGCCATCAATATACCATTGGTCAAGCTATGAACTGGTGCAACTATTCAGGAAAATAATTTAAAACTATACAAGAAAAGTCACTGAACTGTTTATACTCTTGACCTACCAGGCCTACTCCTCATCACAGGGCCCAAAGAGGTCAAAGATAGAGAGTCCCCATGTATATACCAAAATATTTACAGCAGCACTTTTCCTGATAGCAAAAACTGGAAATAAAGGAGATACCCACTGATTGAAGAATGGCTAAAAAAAAACTGTAGCATATGAATATAATGGAATAAATCAATAAACATTTATTAAGTAC